GGGGTAGGGGAAATATTTGGAAAATTACTATAAAATGCTTAAAATGTGTGAATTTGGCAGCATGAGATGTTTATTTTCAAGGGTCATGTCAATAGAACAACCAGACACTGGCCTTAAATGAGCTTGTTTTATTATCCTCAAGACGTTATAGGGAATATTCCACTTAAAATAATCTCCCATTGTGGGAGGATACAGATCAAAGAGACTTTTCCCTTTCTTACTAGCATCTATAATTAAAGACCTAATCCTTTATCCTACAGGAAAAGTCTCCTTTATTGAATTTGTTGTTTTTCTTCCCCTTAAAGCCCACAAGGTTAACATCATGTTTTGTAAAAAAATTTTCATCTAACTAACTAGTGTATCATTCTTAAATTTTGATGCATTTAAAACTAACTAAGCAGCATGCTTGCCCTGCATCCAGGGCCCTGCTACCTTCTGAGTATTTGCACCAGGTGGCAGTATATGGGCCCAGTTCCAACTACAGCACAGGCAGCAAACAGGACAACCCCACTGAAGACGCTGGCAGTTGTGGGAGGAAGAAGGGTGAATTTACCGATTTACAGGTGGGTCTGCAAGGAGCAGTGGCTGCTTAGTGGTAGTAGACAGCAACAACCAATGTATCTAGTTTTCTCCAATGAGGGCCAGTTCAAGTTCCGCTCTGGGGTCTGAGGGCACTCACCTGGGCAGCTGCAGTGCTCCACAGATGTGGCAGTAGACACCAATGGAGACATTATTGTGATAGACAATAGCCTTGGGTCAGCAACCTTTTCCTTGAGGGCAAGTTCAAGGCCAAGATTAGAGAGGGCAGCCTCATGGGCTCCAAGGGAGTGGTCCTAGACCTGAATGGACAAATCATTGTGGTTGACAAGAATGTGTCTTCAGCCTTGGCCAGTTTGGCTCAGCGGTTAGAGCATTGGCCTGCGGCCCCAAGAGTCCCGGGTTCGGTTCCCACTAAGGGCATGTACCTCAGTTGCAGTTTGTCCCTGGCCCTGGTTGGGTCGTGTGGGTGGCAGCCACTCGATGTGTCTCTTTCACATCGATGTTTCTCTCTCTCTTCCTCTCTTTCCCTCCCACTCTATTTGAGCAAAAAAAAAAAAAAAAAGGAAAAATGTTCTTGGGTGAGGATAAAAAAAAATGAAGAATGTGTCTTCACCTTCCAGCCCAATGCCAAACTGGATGGCCATCTTGGGGGATGTGGGGTCACTGACAGCTGGGCTCTATTTTGTGGCTATGAACAAGTATGAAATTATAGTGATGGAACTGAAGGGGTACAGTGCCAGTAGAGAGTTCCTCTTCAAGTTTGGCTTCAGTGGCAAGGGCAGTGGGCAGTTCAGCTCCCGCACGGGTGTGTTTATGGCCTGCAATCGGAACATCCTATAGCTTACCCAGGCAACATCTGCATCCAGGTATCTGGTATTTCTGGGTCCTTCCTGTCCTACATCAACACAGTGTAGGGCCCATAGGGCCTGGCACTGACCTCGGATCCCTGTGATGGTGACCAATGCTGAGAACCACTGCTATAAGACCTATGCTACCTTCAGCAGCTGCACAGGGACACTGCCTTGCTCACAGAGGGACAGACATAGGGGTGATTGGACAAAAGGGTGTAGCCAGAAGGTGGGCCAAACCTGGCATCACTAAATGTGGCCTGTGGACGTTGGTGTACCTGGTGCCTTCCTGTTCAGCATCTCCCAACCCCATGGTTGCATCTTATTCTTGCTTTGGTGACTGGGTAGGCCTGGACTATAGTCCCAAGGCTATGTGCAGAGCTCCTCCCATTACACACCTCCTGTCCCCTCAGGCTCCCTACACCCCAGCTGGGAGCCCAAACAGCCTCTTACCCCAGGGTGGAAGCCACTCTGGTTGTCTCCCTACCACCCCAATATACAGAGACTGTAATAGTTCACCTCCCATGTTAAATGTGTTCACAAGATAAGAAAAAAAGTACCAAATGCAGAATAATATATATAAGCCATTTCACATTTAGAATTATTCAACAAAATAATTGTCAGGGGCCTCTACTAGGAATTTCCTGATAGCTTTCTATTACATGTTTATTTTTAAAAAGTAGGATAATTGCCTAAGTTTATTCTGAGGCAACCTCCATGTTCCAAAGATCTATAAGCAAACCACAGATGAAGGGGGGTGGAAATCCAGAGCTTAGTGGAAGAACCACTTCTTGGTTTATGATTGTCAGAGTGGGGACACTTTGGGTTATTCCTTAACTATAATTGATGCTATACTGAGAATCCCACCCACTGCCAGGGTCAAAGGTTGCTGTTATACAGGAAGGGTAGTCTGTTAACTCCCTTCCTTCATTTAAAATAAACCCTGAATAGACTTCTGGCAAGTAGGGGTTTGTGATATTGGAGAGAAAAATGGTTTTTGGCTAGCAGCTCTAAACAAACTTAGCCAAAGGCTGATAAGGACCTATGAATCTTTTCCAACCATCATTTTTTTCTACTTTAAATAGAATGTAATTCATTTTACTTTAGAAGAATGAAAGGGATTTATTCTGGGATTCAAACTTATCTTTCTTCAGAAGTCTAAGTATTTCATATTAAAGGACTGAGTACAATTTTTTTTTTCTTTATTGATTTTAGAGAGAAAGGGAGAGGGAGAGAAACATCGATGAGAGAGAACATCAACTGGCTGCCTTCTGCATGCTACCCCCTCCCCCCCTTAGATTGGCCCACAACCCAGGCATGTGGCCTGAAAGGAATTGAACCAGTGACCTCCTGGTGCATGGGGTGATGCTCAACCACTGAACCATACCAACTGGGCCCAAATCTTTTTTTATTATTATTTTTTAAATCCTCATCCGAGGATATTTTTACATTTATATTCATAGAGTGGGAGGGAGAGAAAGAGAAACATTGATGTGAGAGAGATGCATCGACTGGTTGCCACCCACATGACCCCAACCGGGGCCGGGGACAAACCACAACAGAGGTACATGCCCTGGTTGGAATCAAACCCAGGACTCTTTGGTCTGCAGGCTGATGCTCTAACCGCTGAGCCAAATTGGCCAGGGCAGGGTCAAAAAATCTTTTAGATGAGCATTTTGTTTTCCCACAAATCTAAAGCCCTGTGTCCACATTTGGTGTCTTGCATTATTTCTTGAAATGGATTTTGCTCAAATCAGATCTTAGCATCACTGAATGGTAAAGAAGAGCATGCAGAAGCAATATGGTAGCTCCTTTGCCTTCCACCAGAAAGGTCCTAAATGGCTTAGCTGGTTAGGAATATTACAAAGACATGGCTAAGATCAGTTTTAATCTTAATGATGTTTATTTTGCTCAGCTCTGTTCTACATGGGCCACAATCAGCTCTCTCAAACTTCTGTTTCTAAATAAAGGAGGACCAGGTAACAAGGCATAAGCAAAACAACACCAGAGATGGGAAAACAACAGAACTGCTGCAAGACAAAAGCAGCACTTCATTTGGTCTTTTCATTCATTCCTTCTGTGTGACAGGTGCTGAAATCACAGAAGGAAACCAGATATAGTTTCACCCAGAAGGGACTTGGTGTGTAAAGAACAACATCAATTACGATTTAAATCCAGTAACAGGTGTGTGCAGGGAGGCACCAATCCCAGCCTGGGAAGGCTCTCTAGGGGTGACACTAGCCAGAGGATAGAGTGAATGTCATTGTGAACAGCAGATGGTAGTTTAATATAGTAGCTAGTTAACGCAATTTAAAAGACCAATATGAGCCACTTAATCTATTGAATTTTAAAAAGTGGAAGGACTGCCCTGTCCAAAGTGGCTCAGTTGGTTGGGTGTCCACACACCAAAATGTTGTTGGTTAGATTCCCGGTCAGAGCACATGCCCAGGTTGTGGGCTAGATCCCCAGCAGGAGGTGGCTGCTTGATGTTCTGCTCTCACATCTACGTTTCTCTCTCTAAAAAAAAAAATCAATAAAAACATATTTAAAAAAATAAAGTAGAAGGACTCAGCAATAGGCATTGGGGAGCCTCTAATGTATATAGAAGTAAGATAGCAACAATTCTTTTATCTTACTGCTCATTTTTTTCCTTTATTGATTTGAGAGAGGGAGAAGGAAGAGGAAGAGATGAAAACATTGATGAGAGAGAACATCCACTGGCCACCTCCTGCATGCCCCCCACTGGGGATCGGGCCCACAACCTGGGTATGTGCCCTGACCGGAAATCGAACTGGTGACCTCTTGGTGCATGGGTGGACGCTCAACCACTGAGCCACACTGGCTGGATTTTACTGCTCATTTTTAGTGTCAAACAAATTCCTGGTCCTATGACTAACTATAAATAAGGAAAAGTTTAGAATTTGTCTTATGACAGGATTTTTCCCTGTAAGACTTACAGATGTGGTTTATATGAACCAAATATACACTCAAAGTTTTATTTTTTATCCTTACCCGAGGGCACTTTTTTTTTTTTTTTTTGCATTTATCTTCAGATAGAGCAAGAGGGAGAAAGAGAGAGAGAAACATCAACGTGAGAGAGACACACATTGACTGGCTGTCACCCACATGACCCCAACTGGGCTGGGGACAAACTGCAACCAAAGTACATGCCCTTAGTGGGAACTGAACCTTAGGTCTCTCTGGACCAGAGGCTGACGCTCTAACCGCTGAGCCAAACTGGCCAGGGCTACCCTCAAGTTTTAAATTGTGGAAAAGTGTGACGAAAGCTCTTCTTAGGAAACACTACAGTTCTATAATGCAATGTCAGTGGAGTCACAGGCCCTATAAAAGGTAAACTAATCATTTAAAGTGAGCATGTTATATTTGAGGTTCCTTCTAAAATCTCCTCTCCAAATGTAAGCTGGACCAATAAAACAAAGCTTTGACGTCAGTGAGACACCATCGCCACCTTGTGTTCAACAGGCTTCATTGCACCCACATTATTGTAAAAGATCCACACAAGATTCAACAGTTACAGAATATAGCTTTATTTATACTCTTACAAATAAAACATTTAAAATCCATATAACTTATTTCTTTTCTAATTTATCCTCATAACTCCTGAGTTATTTTTAAAAATACTGTGATGGAACTGCAGAACTGTAAAAGGAAATATGAACAATAAAAACCTCTCGCAAAAATCAAACAGCTTTTCATTTTTAAGCAGATTTTCAGCATACTACCATCTCTTTGGAAGAAGACTTACTAAAAATAGGTCTTAGGATACCCAACCAAAAAAGCTTCCTTTTTTAAAACCCAGGGTGAATGACTAATGAAGGAAAAAAGCCCCAAGCTGACACTAGACACAAAGGCCTTTGGAGGCAAAAGACAGAAGGTAACCTGCATGGCAGGGTGAGGGTGAGAAGCAGCAGAACACCTACTCCCGGTTCACTGCTCCTGCACATGACATAGACTTTGCTTGCTCCTGTTAATAGGAGCTGGTCCATCTGGGGACAAAGAGGTCAAAGATGCTCAATGCCAGGGGTGCAAAAGCCCTCAAAATTCACTACCCTCAGGCTTCTAATATATACAAATGCTTTTAAAACAGCAAATTCAACACTTAAAATTCCAAAAGAAATTGCCACATCTTCAACTCATGAGGCAAGTCTGTTGCTGATGGCAACAAACAATTGCAGGATTTGAGTGTTTTCTCCCTTCCTAAGCTCCAGCCAGGACTGGCCCCTGGACTAACTACAGTCTGAAGAGAATTTCCCTTGAAGCAGCTATCTATGAAAAGAAGGTTCTTAATACATATGTGCACAGAAAGGGAAAGCACCCTACTTCAAATTTTTTTTCTAATTTGTTGAAGAGTATATTTTTGAACTTTTCTAAAACTAGAAACCCACTAATCCTAACTTAGTACTTCACTTCAAGAATAATGGTATTTGTAAGGAATGATCTATAGGGAATGCTACAATTATAAATTTAATACATTAATGTGAGTTAAGGAAAACAAAATCTTCTAAAGTGTTGAAGTTTGAGTGTCATTTTCTGCTAGCTCATGAAAGCAACTTGAGAAAAATAAAACAGAAAATACAAAGAATCAGTAACAGTAACAATGATAATACAATATAAAGTTAGATTCCAACATTCAAGGAATTGGTTCTTTGGTACAACTGGACCATAATCCTATCAGGAGACAGTCCTGATATTTAATCTAGAATCTTGATAATTGTTTTCTTCCTCAGTCCATTCTCAAATCTACCAAAGTTAACAGGCAAGAAAAGGAGAAAAACTCACAAAGCAGTTTTCCTGCTCATGTTTTTTAAGAATATTCCTGGTTTGAGGGGTGTTTCCCAAGAAAAAACAAAACAAAACAAAATAGAGGCTGTTTTTAATTTCTGTACAGTGAAAAGTTTTTCTGTGTAAGAAGAGAAAAACTCACAGGTGTTGGCAATGAACCAGCACTCGTCAGTCATGCACACCAATCAGTTTCTAACACGATCCCTGGGCTGCAGCTGTGGGCACCACTGAGAAAGGCTTCTGGAGAGACTGGCTCCCCAAAGTGGCTAAGGAATCTCACATTATCAATATGATAATAATAAATCAATTCACCTAGTGAACCTGGAGATTAGCTAGCTCCCCTTGAAGCCAGAGTTCTGAGAGGAGGGCTCCACAGTGCCTGAGCTGGTCTACAGTCTCACAGACAAGCCTATCAATCCATTTGCTGAAGAGAGAGCAGTATCAGTACAGGAATTGTCTGTTCATGTTTTGGGTTAAGAAGGGTAACCTAGACAGTGCTGTTTAAAACCCATTCACAGTGTATTCAGTAGGTCCTCTGTTCTGCACACATCTGCAGAGCCCAACCAAGTTCTGGACCTTAGGTCTCAGAGTTCTATTATTCCTGCAATGAGCAAATCCTAAATGGTGTCTGCACTGATCCCCTTCTGGTACCCTTGTCCAAAAGAGCAAAAGCTGCACTCTGATTCCACAAGTCAACTTGCCACTTTTCAGCAGATGTGTTGGCCAGGGGAGGAAAATGTGTGCAATCTCCCCTCTAAAACCAGCATCATGAATGTGCTCAAAATGTGCTTCTAGGGAGGCAGCTGAAAAGTCTCAGAGGAAGGTAGTGGGGAATGGCAGGTGGAAATCACGGCAAAACCAGTCGATTGTTCGCAGGGCCCCCTTCTCGGCTTTCCATTGTTAGGGTTATTCTGGAAGAAGGGGAGGTCCAGGCAACTGCCCTAAGCACCAACTCTCCTGGATGGCCCCCAGATGAAGCCACAAAATCAACACCCAACATCCCAGCCGGCACCAGCAACTGTCAGGACAGGTCACACCATGACTTCTACCTTCCCTCACACTCAAGATGATCCGGCCAGACTCTTCTGTTCTCTGAGAAAATAGGCAATTGAACTGACAGAAAAGATAGGAGGAACTTGTCTCCTATACCTTTTCTGTAAAAAATCCACTTAAAAAGAGGTCGTCCAAGGATACACATTTAGATTCTTGGGCCCCAAACTATAGATTCACTTCCTGATATTTCTAACCAGGCTATGAGTGCTGCCTATATTTTTGCACTGTGAGGCAAAGGATCCAAAATCTCTCAGCATTGGTTCAAAGAGAAAGGGGCCAGGGTAACCAGAGAAAAAAAATTAGACTTGTCTTCTAAGCTGCATTTAGGTTCCAGAGTCACTCTAGAAGGCGGGAGAGGAAAGAGAGAGGTGCTCCCTGGAGACTGTTACCAGGCAGCTTATTACTAGCACAGAGCATTTTAAAAACAGCTGGACATTTAAGTGCAGGAATACAGTCTGTGTCACAGCTTTTAACACGACTGCCTCTCCCGAGGAGCTTCGTGGATGCCGAGTCCAAGGGTCAGGGATCAGGCAGCCAAGGGCCCGACTTCCAATTGCTCTGATTCCTTCAGGGCCCTAGCCGATCTGGATCTGTCCCGAGTACATGGTGAGAAGCAGCATGATGGCAAAACCAGTCAAGAGGCCCAGGTTCTGGATGACAAAGGGGACCAACATGCTGCCCTTCCTTTCATCCTCCAGGGAGACTTCATTCATCTCAGGGAACTGAGAAAGAAGAAAAAAAAACAAGAGAGCTGAAGTTCCTTTCCTAACTTTGTACTTCTAGGAGAAGTCAGTGCAATATAGATATTATATTTAATAATTATCCTATATTATTAATATTTATATACTATAGTAACAATTAGTATATGACTATTAAAATAGTTATTGTGGTAAAAATTACATAATATGTAAGATATAGATAGATAGATATAGCAAATGGTTTACAAAGAAAATGAACAGCAATAGCCTCTAGAACTTGAATATAACAGGCTTTCTCCACGGTGGTTACCAGTACAGCTGACCCCTGAACATGGGGGTTAGGGGCACTGACCCTCATGCAGTTGAAAATCCACATGTAACTTGACTTCCCCCAAACTTAGCTGCCCCACGGTATCATGGAGGATTAGTTCCAGGAACCCCTCCCACACCACAGATACCAAAATCTGTGGACATTCAAGTCCCCTATGTAAAATGGCTCAGAACAATGCATATAGTTGGCCCTCCACATCCAGGGATTCCCTACTGCAGTCTGAGAGCAGTACGGTATTTATTGAAAAAAAATCCATGTACACATGGACCCGGCACAGTTCAAATCCTTGTTGATCAAGGGTCAACTGCACCTTACAACTATTGAGTAAAACAAAGTACTACACATGCATGTAGTCCTAGATGTGCTTAGGTGCTAGCTAAAAATAACTGCTTTGATAAGAATAAAAATTTTTACTGTGATCCTTAAAAAAAACTGCAAAGATCTTTTCGCTATCAAAATGTAATTGTCACCTTTTTGGGAAACTGAGCAACTATGTAAGGGGCCAGAGAGCAGAGCTATGACTCAAGGCCTCTCGCTGCTGGCCAGCTGCTGGTGACAACAAGAAGACCTTCAAATTCAAGTACTGCAAAAAAAATCCTAACCTTGGTGGTCTACTCTCATCATCTCATCAGAAGTATTATTTTCAAAAGCTATAGAACAGTGGTTCTCAACCTTCCTAATGCCATGACCCTTTAATACAGTTCCTTATGTTGTGGTGACCCCCAACCATAAAATTATTTTCATTGCTACTTCATAACTGTAATTTTGCTACTGTATGTCTTAGGTGACCCCTGTGAAAGGGTCATTCAACCCCCAGAGGGGTCGTGACCCACAGGTTGAGAACCGCTGCTACAGATAATAATTCATGCAAACATGCCAAAGAAAATGATGTACCCACAAATAAGGTTAGTTATGCAAAAGATGTGACAATCAGGTATTTCACTAGCAAACTCAAAACTACTTAAAAGGTCATACCAGATGTTAGCAGGCACAATACAATGTACATATCCAGACACTGCTGATATTTGCCATTGATCTATAAATATCTATTCTATAATAGTCCCATTTTATTTATTTTATTTTTTTTGTGGTATGTGCCCTAGCAGAAACCGAACCCAGGACTCTCTGGTCCGCAGGCTGATGCTCAACCACTGAGCCAAACTGGCCAGGGCTATAATACTCCCATTTTAAAGTAAGGACCCTAGAGTTGACTTTAGTAATCATTTTCTTTAAGGACATATGCTAATAGAAACATAAGCTTTTTGTTCTTTAAAATCTAATGTCCCTTCAAAAAGCACTGAATTGTACATCTTTTTTTTTAATCCTCACCTGATGATATTTTCCCATTTTTGTTCAGATACAGTGGGAGGGGGAGAGAGGAAGAGAAAAGGAGAGAGAGAGAGAGAAACATCAATGTGAGAGGGACACTTCGACTGGTTGCCTCCTGCATGACTCTGACCTGGGCTGGGGACGAACCAAAACTGAGGTGAGTACCCTTGACCGGAATTGAACCCAGGACTCTTTGGTCCGTGGGCCGATACTCTCACAGCTGAGCCAAACCAGCCAGAGCTGAATTGTACATCTTAAGTAGGTGAACTGTGTGGTATGTGCATGATTCCTCCATAAAGCTGTTATCAAAAGCTAACTAACTAATGTCTCCTTAGCTGTCTTCCCATCCAGTGACTTCAATAATCCAGTGCAGCTTTGTCATTTCCCCACGCTGTAAATTATGGAAGACTTACCATATCAGCCAGAGAAATATACAAGAACATTCCTCCAGCCAGTGCAAAGATCCAGTTGGCAGAGAAGTGGCTGCCAGCGAGGATGCCAAAGGCCAGACCCACGTAACAGCAGCAGGCGGAAAGGAAGTTGAAGAAGAGTGCTTGCTGGAGGCTCATGCCAGCGTTGAGCAGGATGACGAAGTCTCCTAGGGTGAGGAGAAGAGAGCATGATGAAGTCACACTGCTTAAAGTATGGATAAAGTCTTTGTGAAAATCAAGACAGCCCCAGACATGGGCTCAAACTACAAGACGAAGGCACACCCCTTCATGTCTATCTCTGGACATGCATGTCCAGACAAGAGGCTGAAAATAATGCAAAATAGACAACTAGCAACAGCCTCATTTCTATTCTGATTGATGGTGAAACAGAAGGAGCTTCCCTCCTCACAACCACAATAAATGGTATTTTTAGGAAACACATTTGAAACTGAGGGAAGTTAAGTAATTTGCCCAGTCAGAAGCCAATAAATGGCAAACCCAGGACTTGACCTTGAGTCTCTGAGCCTCCAGAGTCCAGATTTTTTACATTCCCTCTGACAAAATTAAGGGCCTCCCAACAACCCCTGGCTCATTTACTTTCTTCTACCCATCAGACTTCTAACATGCATCTCAGTCTTTGGGAGATTAATAGGATGTAACAAATAATGTATGTTAAGCACTTAGAACAGTGTACGGCATGCAGGAAGTTCCTTTCACTATTTTCCCCTTTTGTCTTCATGATAAATCTATGAGGTAGGTACTGTTATGTATCCCAACATATAGGTGAGGAAGTTAAGCCTCCACAACAACTATTAGTTCAACTGTTAAGAATTACTGGTTAGTCCTGGCTGGTTTAGCTCAGTGGTTAGAGCGTCAGCCCAACGACCAAAGAGTCTCGGGCTCAATCCTGGTCAAGGGCAGGTACCTCAGTTGCAGTTTGGTCCCCGGCCCTGGTCAGGGTCGTGAGGGAGGCAACCAATCGATGTGTCTCTCTCACACTGATGTTTCTTTCTCTCTCTCTCCACCCTCTGAAGATAAATGAGAAAAAAATATATCCTCAGGTGAGGATTGAAAAAAAAAGAATTAGTGGTTAGATTTCACATCGCATAAAGAACATTTTAATTAATTACAACAAGCAATTTGAAGTGGGGAGGAGTCAGCCACATGAAGGGTGCTGGTGCCCATAACAAGGCAGTAAAGTGGAACGGGGTTGGGGGGGCATGTGCACTCACCCAGCTCATGTGGGAACTCCTCACAGAGAATGGCCACTGAGGTGCTGATGCCTTGGAAAACAGACACAGTGAAGGAGGCTCCAATGGCCAGGCCGTCGATGAAATTGTGGAGACCATCACTCAGGGTGATCATCCAGGCCAGAGTGCCAATATCAGAGTAGCGGATGCCTTTCAGCCAATAACAGGCACTTTGGGAAGCCTGCAGATCCTACAAGAAAGGCAGTCCCCACATCCCCAGGTCAGGGGGTGGATGAAGGACCTTCAAGGTAGACCTGAGTCATCAAGGCCACTATCGCTTAAAGGTCCCCACCCAGTGACAGATGGCCAACTGACCTGGACAGACAGTGAGCTCACAATGACCTTCTCGTCCATCACAGGGACCTTGCCATCCAGCTCACTGCTGCAGTGCTGAGGAATCATGTGGTCCAGGTCCCCATTCTGCAGCTTCTCTGTCACCCCCTCCTCCTGGTCCTTCTTGGAAGGAAGTGTCTCAGAGGCATAATGGCTATGTCCATGATGCTGCTGGAGGGACCACAAGGAACTGTGAGACACTCACCAAAACCATAAGGTTTCTTGAGACCTGCTTTGAGTCAATGCTCTGAGTCCTAGAGAGACCCCATTCCCACCACCAGAAAAAAAAAACACAAGCAGGCAACACCCTCAGAAACCCAGGGTCTACTACAGAGCTGAACCAAGCTAAATGCAAGGGCCTGGCATAGGACAGGTATCAAAGCAGTGACCACAGGGCCCGCATTCATTCCAGAGAGGCAGCACTGCTCAAAACATTTAGAGCTTCTTCTTTGCAACAGCTAATTGTATTCAAGTCAGCAACTATTTTGGGAATAACTGCATAAGAGACACTAAAGGTGTTTTTCTGGATCTATACTAGAATAATCAGTCTCATTTCTTTGTGGCCATACACAGTGCATGTCCATATCCAGCCCCTCCTTTGTCTTCTAAAGGTATAAAAGTATGTTAAGGGGCCCTGGACAGTTTGGCTCAGCGGATGGAGCCTCGGCCTGTGGACCGAATAGTACCAGGTTCAGTTTCCGTTAAGGGCATGTCTCTTGGTTGCAGTTTGTCCCCAGCCCCAGTTGGGGTTGTGTGGGTGGTGACCAGTCGATGTGTCTCTCTCACATCGATGTTTCTCTCTCTCTTCCCCCCTCTCTCCCTCCCGCTCTATCCATAGATAAATGCAAAAAAAATGTCCTCGGGTGAGCATAAAAAAAAAAGTATGTTAAGAAAATCATTTAGAATAAAACAGAAGGAATAAATTACTGCCTAGTAAAAGGCAAATAGGCTAGATCTGGTTTCTGGTACACCCTTGCCCCCTGCTATTATCCTCATGAGGTGAAATGGGGTCTCCTCATGAAACCGGTGGGCGCCGTTCCCCTCTGGAGCCCACTGCAGTGGTGCTGAGGTGACCCACCACCACGACACACAAGCACTTCGGAGACAGATGCTTTCCCCAGGAGCACCTCCTTTACCGACAACTGGGCCTCACCTTGTCTTTCTGCTTAAGGAGCATTTTCAAGATCTTCTCTGTGAAAAAGAAAAGATAGAAACCCCCAAACACCACTGCAGACTTGGAGACATAATAATCCTCCAAAGGGTTGAAACCAAAAGCCTGTGGACCCAGGAAAAGAAAATGAGTTTAAGAAAATAAATCATCTCCATAGGACCCCTCCCTTCTCTTAACTATGTCTGTGTGTACGAAAGGAGACAAGCACACGGGGACACTGTCATCTACCCATCTCCTTTCCAGGGAAAACTAACTCCTGATGTTTCCCAAATGTCCCATCACCAGGCCTGTTAGGTTCTCTCTAGCTTATTTTCTGGTGCAAAAGACAAATCATCTTCAGAACTGTACTGTCAGGAAGAACAGTCTGGAGACAGTTTTCTGCTTTTAATGAGAACTGTCTCCATTTCTCCATTTATTTCACTCTGCCGGCAAATTCCACATTTAAAGAGATTTGTGTTTATTTTCATTTTTATCTCATGTCCCTACATGACCTGCCTGTACACACAAACAGAGGTGGTGTAATTATACTTTCTAAAATGGGAAATCCATTCCCCAGTTAAATACTAAGGATTGCGGCACCTTCCTGACCACAGACTTCCCAGTGACCACAAGGCCGAGAGAGAAAGCAGACCATGTTGCTGCATGAGTCAATTTTGGGGGTTTTGAGTTCTATCTGTAAACTCTAACTTATTATAGGGGGAAAAACAGAATCCACTGGAGAATAGACAGAAGAAAGCAGGAGAACTTCTTTCTCAGGGATGCTCCTGACCTGTGGGGGGCCTCGGGAAAGAGTCCGGTGACCTGCTCCTTAGTTTTCTGACAGGAAACTGCCCTCTTAAGAGAATGAACTCCAGCCTTCTCATGAATGGTCCAAGATCAAAGTGACTGTAAGTACCAAGAACTATTGCCTGAAAGGTAAGTGTTTTTCCTTTCCACTTTTAAGGGACAAAATGTGATTTCCACCCATCCATTTGTATAGTTTTCTAAGAGACATAAAGGTCAAGTTCTAGAGTAGAAACAACACATTTGGGTCAATTTCCAGGACTGTCCAATCAGCTTAGGGAAAGTGCAGTAAAAATAGGCAACAGTTCCCCACAAACAGCAAAACGAAGGGCAGAGGACAAGAGCATATGGCTTCAGGAATCACTACCTGGCCGCTGAAATACTGCTCTTGTTCAGGTCCGATTCCTTATCTGACAAATGAGTAAAACATTACTTGTTCTCTAGATATCACAGTTTATCTAAGGACCTACTAGGAAAATAGAACCACATCTTGGGAAAACAACATGTTAGAAGCAGCACGTGGCGTCATCTCTGTGCTCAGCTGCGGCCTGTCTGGGCCTGTCAGACCACCTATGGTGAAATGCTCGTGCTTACTGACATCAGCCGGTCTGCTGTAGAGATGACACCAAATCAGATGCAACTTCTCCAGGGCTGTCTGCCAAGCTTCACAAAGTCTGAACTCCTTCCTCTTTCATGGATGATTTTCTCACTAACCTGGGCCAAGGGGCAAAGATGCCTTCAATGTATATGACACCCGATGGTTCTATGTGGATTACCTTTGCCTCAAATGCCCTACTGAGAACTGATCTTTGTATTGTGACATACAGATTCTGTTGAGATATTTATTTGTTGTGTGCCAAAGCCCTAAATTAGGAGCCGTAAGTGACCTAACTATACTATATCTTTTCACCAACAGTCAGACAGCATTTCCTAGGCATCAGGCATTTTACACATATTAACTCACACAACGCTCATGACATCATTAAGTCTGGCCTATTATTTTCCCCATTTTACATTATGAGGAAACAGAAGACAGAGAGGTTAAGTGACCTGTCATGCCACCTGTCAATAGTGGAGCTTGGATTTGAACCCAGCTCTTAAACCTGTGCTATACTACTTCCTCTAACTCTGCCTAAGTCTTAGCTTCACTTTCCGAAAGGAAAGGACCTCCTTTCTCTGCCTTTCATTGAACTGGAGGGTCCTCCCACTGTGCCCGCTGTCCCCAGGAGACAGTGTGCTCCTGGGTGAGGAGTCCTGGCTTGCCATACCTCAGGGATGAGCTGGAAGAGGGCGTTGGAGTAGAGGGTGCCAATCGCCAGAGCTATGAAGTAGAGCAGCAGCCTCTTGTAAAAGGTCTTCTTCATGAAGGGTACCACACTGGCCCCCATGAGGGAGCAGAGGGAGATGATGGTCACACAGAGGAGACCGTATCCCCACACTGCCATTGGGGGAGAGCCAGCCTCACCCAGGACATGGAGATGGGCAAGTGCCCCACGGCACGGCAACCACCATGTAGGGGAAAGAAGGTGGAGGGGATGGGGCAGCAACAAGGAAGGTTTTGGTGGATATTAACAAAGCCAACAAAAGAAAAAAATCAGAGAGACAAGTAGGGAGGGAGAGAGAGAAATAGAAAATTTGTTAGTGATTCAAGTCTGATAAAATTCCCTTTCATTAACTCAGAAGAAATAAAGAGGAATTCAAGATGGCCTTGGAACTCTGTGGCTCCTGCCCCCACTGCCTTTGGTGGCCCAAGTCACACCTGCTAGCTTGTGTGACTGGCAGGGCCGATACGACCTTGGCACACAGCCATGCATGTGCAGGTCTATCTTGAAGCTGCCAGGGCAGACACTGGACCCAAGGGCTCTCTTTAATAAGAAACAAGAGCAGCTGGAAAGAGACCAATGACTGCTGCCATGTTTGCTTTGTGTACCTGACCCACACCGTGTAGGTAAATGCACCAACACCTGGACTTGGTCTGATGTGCAAAATGCTGCAAAGTGCAGGGCAGAGTAATGGAGAACAAGCAAGGCCCAATGCCCTTGAAATCCAGATTCTTAACTTCTCTAGGTGCTTATTTGTTTGGTTTGGTTTCCTTTGAAATGGCTCCAGTGCAGAGAACAGAGTTCCAAGTCCACCCTGCACAGCACATATTTCCTCTACCATTTCCCAGTGACACACATTCCAGTCTGGACAAAACTGAGCCAGGATGAGGCACTCCCTTGTGAGCCACAGGGCTGGAGTGTGTGCAATTACTGTATTTCCATTCAACAGGCAATGAGGCATTTCATTTAATACAATTATTTTTTGTAAAGTAATAAATTTGACTTCTGGAGCTGAAAAAAATAGCCCGAGATGAGGCCTCCCCTGAGAAGTGCTTCATGGGGGAATTTTGAAACAAGACAGAGACGGTTTATCTAAGCCAGCTTTCTCTCCGCTGTTAGAAGGAACAAACAAGGCCTGGACACTGCATCTGGTGTCTCTTCTGGCTGAGTCTTCTGATTGAGACTGGGCAGCTGCTGACACAGGTTCGTTATGAAAGGTGGCTGCCACCCCCCCCAGGGGATCCCCACATAATCACCTCCCCAGCCTGTCCTTACCTGAGCCAACAGAGGGGGGGGCACTATCAACTTGGGCCTTATTTTTTTTAGCTCCTCAGTGGTCACAATTAAAAAACAAAATTAACAAACATTTCCAAAAAGTCAAGTAAGGGCACCAGGAAGTCAGTCCCATCAGGAGAACGTCAAGATGCAAGGCAGAAAGGATGGAGTGCCCCTTCTCCTTTATCTTGTGATTTTTATTTCATTTGTTTTTGTAGAAAATCTTTGTTCTAGGTTCGGTTCTCTCTGCTATGAATTATGGCCTGACTTTAAAAAAAAAATTGCTCATCTTTTAGGTCAGTTCTACTTATCAGTTGGTAACCTCTTTTCCTTCTGCCTCAGTCCAGATGGATAATCTCTTGGTGGCCACCCCTGAATGCTGTGACAGCCTCCACTTGGAACAAGGTGCACAGAGCACCAAGGGCGTGCATGGAAACCACCGCTGCAGCTTTCCTTTGGAGCCTGCCAACTGGGCTTAGGAAAGGCGCTGAGGCAGGAGGCGAAGATCCCTGACAGAAGGGCAAATGCTGAGAGCCTTGCACTTGACATCACCCGAGGAGGCCAGAGGTGAACCTGGGTGCCACAGGAATGAGAGAAGGCCCTTGAGATCCAGAGTCAGAAGTCATGTGTGTTCCTTGATATGAGGGAGAAGTTAATTTGTTGGGTGGCAGCTGTCAGGTGCCTTAGAGCACAGGGTAGGGGCAGAGTGTGGGCCAGGGAGGCTCAGCAGACGGCCCGGGAAAGAAGACGCGCACAATCTGTTCTACTGCACCTCTGGGATGAGCTGGAAGAGCGCGTTAGAGAACAGCGTTCCAATGGACAGGGCGATGAAGTAAGTGAGCACACGGCTGAAAAACGCTTTCTCTGTGCACGGCAGGATGAGGGCTCCCAGGAGAGAGGCCAGGTTAATCAGTGAAACACTGAGGAAACCAAAGCCCCACACTGTGGAGGAACAAGAACAGACGAGGGCCTCCATTACTGAGGGTGGGGTGCTCCTGCTGCCTGGGCGGCTCACTCTGAATTCAGCTGTAATCAGGGCACACAGAGATCGACCAACCCATCAGTAAATATCTGCTGGGTCCATTTCTTGCTGGGTGCTGTGGAGAAGCCTAAAAAAATACAGCAAAGTTGCTGTCCAGAAGAAGCTTACCTTTTAGATGGAGGCAGGTGAAAACGTGAAAGGCTGAGAGTTAAAGGATGACAGCAGGAAACAATGAGACATGACACAAGAATCTACACACCAGCATGACAGCATTTCAGAAGGGCAATCTGGGCCCGAGGTAATCGTATACACTCACAGACCATGGTGGATCCTGAGGCTGGAGCAGAGGTACTGGGCAGGGGAGGGCAAGAACGATGAAGTGGGCTGACGACAGACCCTGTAAGGTCTGAAACGCTCAATTGAAAAACCAAGGCATTGGCCCCCTTGTAGATTCATGAAAACTAAAGTGGCAAAGTAGCCATAAAAAGCAGTCCATACCTGGGCTGGTCCCAGAGCCCAACACTCACCATTCACTGGCCACACCGGCCCATCTGATAACATGCTGTACCAGTCTTGTAAGTGCAAAGATACCAGTATAATCATCACTCTAATTCGACGCCCCCCCCCCCCGATGTTGATAACCTGGTCACCAGTTAAACACTGAGCATGCAATACTATTGATCAGCAGAGGCCCATGTGAGGACATGCATGGGGACCAGGCCTTCCCATCCCAGCGCACCTTCCACTGTGCTTGGCTTCCCTTCTTCTGTCTCCTCGTTCTCCTCGTTCTCCTGGTTCTCGGAGGAGCAGGCCCGGGAATCCAGCTGCTGGAGGATGGTAGGGCAGAAGTCCTGGAACTCCCTCCTCCCAATCCGTGACTGGTTGCTGAAGTTGTGGGCAGCAAAGAGGGCTCCAGAACTGAAGCACTGAAACAAAGGCAAGGGTGTAGAAAGCCTCTTAGAACCCAAAGTCATACCTTGCCCTAAGGCAGGGACTGACTCAGCCTTCCAAGAGGGAAAAAAAAAGAAGAATTGTCCAAATATCGGTGAATCTGTAAGACTAATATCCAGAGGTGAGAGCAAGGTGGTCCCTCAACTTGAAAAACTGATTAAGTTATCTTAGAGATCAGTCATCGGGTTCACACCTACCCAACATACAACATCTGTAAATGGCTGCCCAGAGGTTCTGAGAGCAACTGAATTCCAATCATTATGACCAGGATGTGTTTTCTAGAAAACATAATGCTATTTGCACACCCGAAGACAGATTCAACCAGGAAGCATATCTGGCTGCACATCACAGCAGCCCAAGGAGCTATTCTATTAGAATGTAGATTCCAGACACTTCTCAGAGTTATTGAGCACTGACATCTACAGAGCATGTGTGGGCCAGCCAGTGGACATGAGCTCTCGGCCCCTTTGGGAGGCAGCAGGGGTTTCTCTCACCCTGTTTCTGTGAAGCACCACTATTTTCCTTCTAATTATAGTTTATACATGTCAGTTTTTAACTGAGTTTGGATTTACATGGGTCTATCTCTAGAGTCAGCCTTCTGGGGCCCCCTCGATCTCTCCAAACTCCACCCTCCTTCAAATCGAAGCTCCAGGACACCTCACCCACAAGCCTTCCTGGACTATTCTAGTGCACACTTATCTCGTCATTTCATTTCTGAATCCTATAATGACTGCCTAATCCACAATATTTAATGCTTCAGGTTAACATCAGCTAACTTTTATCTCAGTTGGTTGAGTTCCCCATCTTGACAGTAACTCCTCTAAACATGACTCATTTTTCTCTATTTCTCACAACACTCAGCACAGGAAACACAGTAGAGCTATAAAGCCATTGCTGGCTGACTTGTATCTGGCTGCCTCAAATAGCCTCAGATTCAGATTAGCCAAGATGATATATGGGAGAAAGAACAGAGAACCAGGAGCCAAAAGGACCTGCTCCTTAGTCCTTGTCCCTCCAAGATTTCACTATGGGGGCCAAATAGACCTGCACCTTAGTCCTTGTCCCTCCAAGATCTCCAAGATCGAGGGGGCCCCAGAAGGCTGACTCTAGAGATAGACCCATGTAAATCCAAACTCAGTTAAAAACTGACATGTATAAACTATAATTAGAAGGAAAATAGTGGTGCTTCACAGAAACAGCGTGAGAGAAACCCCTGCTGCCTCCCAAAGGGACCGAGAGCTCATGTCCACTGGCTGGCCCACACTATGGGACCCTCAGTGTTGTGTCCCTTAAAATGAACATGTTCCACCTACACCTAGAGGTGCTGCGAGGCTCAGCTGGGAGAGAGGGCAAAGGGTTTTGTAATCTACAAACTCTATTAGAAATACTAGCTGCCCGAGGAGCTCCAGCTTACCAGAAGTTGCAGGTGATTCCAGTGCACCTGCAAGGAAGAGTCTGGAGGGCTGAGAACCTCTTCCCAGCTGCCCTTTGGTAATGGTTTCAAAACACCCATGCAGGAGGGCAGGCAGCGCTGCTGGGACTCAGATTTGTTGACTCAGACAACAGATGAAGAAGCACAGGCCTCTCTGCTGTCATCAAGGCTTGGCTACCCCAACCCTGCCTGCACTCAGCAGCTCAGCTCCTGTGCCTGACTGGACTGTGAACCCCGAGAGCAGAGTGCTGAGCAGAGCAGGGAGCCTTACCATGGACAGGTTCCTCTGTCCCTGTAGGGACTGGGTGACATTGTCCCAGCCCACTCCCACATCCAGGTGGTTGAGCAGGGCCTTAAGCTGCTGCAGGGTGAGGCTGTCACCCTCCCCATAGCGATGCATGAGATCCTGCAGGAACGAGTCTGCACTGATAGCTGGCATCTCCGTGGACACAGCATGAGTCTCGGGAGCAGCTGTCCATAAGCTGAGCAGAGTAAGCAGGAAGCAGCTACGGAAGGCTGGGTGTAGCAACTTCATGGTGACAAATAAACCTGCAAGAGCAAAAAGCCAGGTGACAGTGAGGCTTAAGTAACCCACCTCTGCCCTGGCCGGTTTGGTTCAGTGGTTAGAGCATCGGCCTGCAGTCCAGAGAGACCTGAGTTTGGTTCCCGCTAAGGGCACGTACCTTGGTTGCAGTTTGTCCCCCACCCTGGTTGGGTCGTGCGGGTGGCAGCCACTCGATGTGTACCTTTCACGTCGATGTTTCTCTCCCCCCCCGCCCCCCGAACAAAAAAATGGGAAAATGTCCTCGGGTGAGGATAAAAAAAAAGAAAAGAAAAAGAAACCCACCTTTCGGTGCTGGCTAGGTAGCTCAGTTGGTTAGCACGTCATCTCAAGATGCCAAGGTTGCGGGTTCAATCCCGTCAACCAATGAATGCATAAATTAGTGGAACAACAAATCCATGTTTCTCTCTTTTCTCTCTCTGTTTCTCCCTCCTTCCCCCCGCCCTTTTTCTCTACAGTCAATAAATAAAATTTTTTAAAAAATGTCCTTATCTTGCCTTGACTGGTTTGGCTCAGCAGTTGGAGTGTCTGTCTGTGGAACAAAGAGTTGCAGGTTTGATTCTGGCCAAGGGCACATACCTCAGTTGCAGTTTGATCCCCAGCCTTGGTTGGGGTTATGGGGCAGCAGGCAACCATTCGGTGTGCCTCTTTCATATGGATCTCTCTCCCCTCAATCCCCCACTCTACCTGAAAATCAATGAAAAAAGTATCCTCGGGTGGATTTTTTAAAAAGTCCTTATCTTTTAGAGGTACTGAAATAATCATGGATTAAGTAATATCTGACATCTACTTCAAAATAAGATATAAGGAGTATGTGCATGGGAGCACAGATGAGTTGATCGGACATGAGTTGGTCATTGTTGAACCTGAGCGATTCATAGAGGGCAATTCATTATACTATTCTGTCTACTTTTGTATATGTTTGAAATTTTCCAAAATAAATACCTAAAAAATTAATACTACAACTAAAATAGGAAAAACAAATGACCATCAAACATGACAAAGGTTTATTTCTATCCTGCCTAAATTAGGGAACTAACATGGAAAACAGTCTCTCTGGTTTGTTAAGAATACAAATGAAAAATATGGATAATGCTACTACTACTTACCAAAATAGCAACACAAGCCCAGAGGGTGGATTGAGCATCCTCCCATGGACTGAGAGATCCCAGTTCAATTCCCAGTCAGGACACATGCCTCAGTTGCAGGTTTAATCCCCAGTAGGGGTGTGCAGGAGGCAGCAGATTGATGTTTCGCTCTCACATTGATGTTTCTCTCTCCCTTCCTTTCTCTCTCAAAAAAAAAAAAAAAAAAAAAAAAGTCAATGAAAACATATTTAAAATAAAATAAAATAAAATAAAATAGCAACACAGATTTTTTTTTAAATCCTCACCCAAGGACATTTTCCCATTAATTTTCAGAGAGTGGGAGGCAGGGAGAGAGAGAGAGATAGAGAGACATCGATGTGAGAGAGACACATCAATTGGTTGCAGCCCCACGACCTCAACCAGGGCCAGGGATTGAACCACAACTGAGGTACGTGCCCTTGACCGTAATCAAACCTGCAACTCTTTGGTCTGCGGGCCGACGCTCTAACCACTGAGCAAGCTGGCCAGGGCACAACACAGATTTTTTGAAAAAGATAAAAAACCAAATGTTAGTGAGGTTGAACAACCAAATAAGATAAGGCTGGTGGCTATATAAATAATGTGACTCTTGAAAAGTTATGATAATAGAAGTATTTAAATCCTCTGAACCTGTAATTCTACTAGAATTTACACTAACAGAAGCAATTCAAAAACAAAAAGGCTACAGGTAGAAAGATGTGCTATGGTCAAGTGAATTTGAATACATCAGCTTCAGGGATTAGTTAGTATGCAGCTCTAAAAAAGAGACTCATGAGTTTAATGTTAAGAAACAGAACAATTAAATTATATAGCAGAGTTAAGAACCGAGAAGGAATACAGAAAAAGGAAAGCTTTAAGATAGCAGGACTACGATTTTTCTTTTGTTAATCATTTCCCTTAGTACAGTTAAAATTTAAGTAGTGAATGAAATAAACAAATATCAGGAAGGGAAAATGAACCTCCCATTTATTTAATCCAGATCCAGGAACCCAGTCACTGCAGTTGTTTCCACACCTCCCAGCCACAGACCTCGAAGTGAGTCACTCCGCCTCCAGGTCTTTGCTTGTGACAGAGGTTCAGAGCAGGCTTGTTTGCGTCCTGGCTCTGCCACTTACCAGCTATATGATCTTAGCTATGTGAACCAGCATCAGCATTCTAGACTCACCCAGAGCAATGATGGCCTTTAGTGTTAGAAAGACCTAGCTTGAATTTCCGCAATGCTGCTTACCCACAGTGACCTTGGCCAAGTTACGTGGCTTCTCTCTACACCTTGGTTTTCTTATCTATAAATTTGGTAGCACTCATTGGATTACTGGGAAGATTTAATGCCATGAGTTATGACAAGTTACTAAGTGCCTGGAGTATAGAAAGCACTCAATAAAACATGGCCGTTATTTTAAGACTTATAATTAGCAGAATTCCTCTACTTTGATGCCCTCTCAGCCCAGATACTGAGCTGCTGACAGAATGATCAGAAATAGCCCTGTGGCTGCCTTTATTTATTCCAGGCCTGTGGCATACACACCACACAGGTCCCTAGCCACAAGCACATCTAGGACATTCCAGGCCATATGGGGCACACACAGAATCCAGAGACACAAAACATCACTCTTCATGGACTATACTTTGAGTCACACAAATGGGTTAGGCATTGGCGAAAGTAATGCTTTGTTAAAGTGGCATTTTGAGACTAACAACTCTCAATCTCCACTAAAAAAACAAAAGTTAAATTATGGTGTGCAGGATGGATCTAAGTCCAAAATGGCTAGACCCCACTGTACAAAGAAAGCTGTTCTCCGCCTGACCACGCGATCTAAGGCCTGTTCTGGCCTGTCAAAATGAAGAGCTGGACTTAGGGAAGGAGAAGCAGAGAGGCAGCTAGCATTACCAGTGTGCACCTTTCTATTAAGAAAGAGACTGTAAGAGGAGTCAGGACACTTACCAGCAACTACTAAATGAGGAGACTGGGTTCAGAGATTAGGAAACATGATCCATAGCCAGCAAGTAGAGCAGTGAAGCCAGAAACTAAAATTTTCACGAAAGGAAGCCATGTCTTAATAACACGAAAGCCAAGGCACTGTTAACTACTGTCCCCACTGGGTGGAGACACAAAAATACACGCCCTGGTCCCCATGAAGATCCATAAAATCCTGCATCCTCTGGGCAAATCATTCCCAGTTTCTATCGGCCCCAGCAAGCACCCGTGTAGGGGAACCCCCAGATACGCCTTCATAGCTGGGCTGTGTTTAAGGGATCCTTCTGTAGAATCACTTCAACAAAAACAACTGTTCAACTTCAGCTCTATTTCTCAAATTTATCTGTAGCAACTTCAAAACATCAGAAAATACAAACATAAAAACACTTCAAGTATGACTTTTAGCTTTACCTGGATGGGTATTCATGTCAAGGTCAGCATTTATTAAGTATTTGCTCTTTGCTGACCCAGTGGCCCATCAGTCTTGAGCATGGCTGTCATGGCAGCTTGGAGGGGGAGGGTTGATTCAGCAAGTGGAGCCTTCCTGCCTGGCCAACACTCTGGCATAACAGCACCCCCCCCCACCCCCACCCCCGCTGGAACCCTGAGCCTATTAGTAATGGGAGGGTAGTAAGAAGTCCTGGTCCAGGGACCTGGGAGTTGCTGAAGACACTTCAAATTCAAGTGACCCTGGACTTTTGGCAGTCACAGAAGGGGAGCTTTCTGCTCCAATGCAGATTTTTCTTCCCCTTAACTACAAGTTAGTCTTAGAAAAAAATGTCTGTAAATGATTCTTTGGAGGAAAGAACAGAGGATGAAAGCTCCTGGTGCAGCTGGATGGTGAGGCTGGGCAAGTCCTCACCGTGTGGCCCCAGCCGCAGAAGGAAGTCCCTTCTATTAAGCAAGGCCATGGAAATAGAGGGGTCCTGGGTGGGCCACTTGAATCCTCTCAAGGAGCCAGGCCAACTGCCCTCAAGGACACCTTCCAGGAGTGGTAAGAAGAGCATGTGAGGCAGGGCATCAAAATCAGTTGGAGGGACAAAGGCCTGAGTGCATTGTTGGCTCAGAGGACCTAGGCTCTCTGACTAAAGAGAAGCTACAGTCTCTCCACCTTTTTTTTTATTTTTTTAAATTAGTTTGCCAGGGTTGGGGGTGGGGTGAAGAAGGAGAGCAGGAGGAGGGAGGGGAGCGGAGAGGGAAGGAGGGAGGAGACTGCCTCTCTCCTCTCCACATTTTTATTCACTTGGCTTGGGTTCAAATAAGTAAATTATTTTAGTGCCTTAGCTCTGTCTCCAAGGCACCAGACCCAGCCCTTCGGGGGGAGGGGGGGACAGAAATGAAAGACTACGAGAAACTTCATATGTTTCTCTGTGTAACTTCAGATGTTTCTTTACGATCTTGGAGGCTCCTAAATCAGAATCACACCTGCTTGTCACTCCCCCTTAACTTGGTCCAGGAGTGTCTCATCCTAGAAGCCACACTCTGTCCTGTGGACATAGTGATGCTACACTTACAATGCTGTTTTTCTAAGCCTGCCTCCCCCTCAGAGAAGAACAAACACTTCTCTTTGGGGTGATGAAGTAGTGACATGCCATGATGTTTGGTCCAGAGGTTGGACATTGATGTGAATAAAACAGGCAACAGAGACTTGTGGGGCCTGGAAGCTGCTAGGCCTCCAAATATCCCTTCCCTGATCACCAGCTGACTGGGTAGCCCATCATTCTCACTCTCAGATTCCTCTGGGCCCAGGAATAACATGTAGAAGATAAGACCAAGTGCTCCAGAGACAAACTTGGCTAAAGCACAACTGTTTCCAAGACCAACTGGTAAGCCACAAAAAAATGGGTAAGACGTGTGTTTAAAACCCTACCCACTCATGTTGAGT